CTTATAAGGAGGCCCACCACCTGCTTTTGTACTTGTGTCATTCCTAGAACGTGCATACAGCCCCAGAGGTGTGGCCCTGTTTGGATTCTAGCAGGGGACTGGGCAGAGCTGGAGGAGGAGGTGTGAGTGAGTTCAGGTGGAAGGGAGGGGCAGAGGGGCTAGAACAGGAACTGGATCAGAGGAGCTGGATCAGCGAGGTGCATGAAAGCCGTGGGGAGCAGTTCCTATTTATCCTGTTAAAGCCTCACGTAGTCCTGAGAGCTGTGCTAGGCACGGGGTCAGTGGTGCCACTCCAGTTTCTGAGAGGGGATCTGAGGTATAAGGAATGCACATTACCTGCCCCAAAGACATCTATTTAAGTTTGACAGTTACTTATTTTGAGCGAAAAGGTGCTTCCCTGTAATTCCTCCCTAACAGCTGATGCGAATGAGCAACTGATGAGAATGTCCTAAAGCATGTTAAAGCAAGTGTGCTGACTGGGAAGCTGTAGAGTAGAGTTATCCTGGTATATATTTGTGTTTTAGGGTCTTCACTCAAATTCCATATTCTAAAGAGACTTCACTTCCTTTTGAGCAAAGAAGAAAATCATTTCTTCCCAAATGTCCCTGATTCTTTTCCCTGGACATTGAACAGGCCTCAGCTCTCCTACAAGCAAAGGTCCCATAGGCCAGGATTTGATGTCTTGCCTCTTGGAAGGGCGATATAGCCTGAGGTCATTGTCGTGACTTCTGGGATGGGTCTCCTGCACACAACCCGGGATCTCCCCCTAGGAAGCCCTGTGATCTTAGGCATTTCTTGGCACATTGTCATCATTCACCAGATGTCAGCAGTACTGCTCATAGTCTTTATGAAACATAGGACAGTCCATGGTATTCATCCTGCGTTCAGTAAATGTTTAATGCATGAATAAATGAAAAGGCAAATGGAAAGCAGTTCATCACTGTGTGTTTGTTGAATGAATGAGTGAATAATTTAATGGATTTGGAAGACAACTTGTAAAGTATACTTCTTTTCACAAAAGATGTTCTACACATATCATACTCGGGCTGCTACTGGATCAGAACTCATGATCTCCTAGATCTCTTAGATCTGTCTTCCAACAAAATGGAACAACTTGTACAATATTTTGTTCGCATTTCTTTTAAGAGTGACTACTTTATCCTATGGAAGTGTTTCAGGCTTTTTAAGATTAAAAGAAGAGGATTATTTGGCTTGCCTGTGGACCAAGTGGTTTCTCTGAACAGGAGCACTGAGCTGAAAGATGTTTATCACCCTCATGAGTGTGGCTCAGTGGACAAGAGGAAATTCACTGGGGCTCTCTTTTCAAAAGGAACTTTGAGGCTGCTGTCCCTGCATAAGGCAGACTAGAGGACACTCCACTCCCTCCCTGTTCTCACCAAACAAGAGAAGTTACACAAACTGTAGGGGCAGCTGGATCACAGTTTATGCTGCCCCCAGGATATATCTTTCATCTTAATTGTGCTTATTCAGCTGTGGGGATGCATTGGTCTCTAGCTGATCTTTGAAAAAGTGCAAAAGCCCGTTTAAAAACACAACCAAATCCTCCTTTTAGATAGGGGCCTGGTGTGGGAGTAGGGAGGAAAGGATAAGAAAACTTTATATCTTCTCTCTGATACTTTTTTGCTTGGTGTGCGAATACTTACAGAGATGCCCACAGGCAATTTTCCAAAGCCTTTTTGATCAAAGTTGATAAAGCTCCCTCTGTGTGTAGGAGGGAAGTTCTCTTTCAACCAGCTTCTTACTCTGAGCCTTCTTGTGGAGATATCATCTGAAATCATACAGCCATGGGTCCTTATCTGCCTGGGTCTGGGTCCTTACCAGTGACAAGTAATCCAGTAACTACGAATTCATTGTGTTCCATGTGCTGGGCACTAAGCTGGCTGCAGGCTGGGGGTAGAAGGAGTAAAAGTAAAAACAAACAAAAATAATAGCCATCTTTAATATTTTGTGTGTGCCTACTCTGTGCCAAAGCAATTACTGAAATACTTTGGTGTAACAGTCATGAGAAAAAGCAAGGCTCAAGTCATTATTTCCATTTTATACAGAAGTGGGAAGCAAAACTCTTAGAAGTGAAACATTGCCTCCATCATGCCGGAAAGGATGAAGGGTTTGCATGGAATCTTTTGGTACCGGCTGCCAGAGAAGAGTGATGTAGAGAAGGAAAGAAAAGGCGGTTTAACAGAAGCAGAGCTCAGGAAGGTCTGTCAGGTTCTCTAAAGAGTTGTGTAACGTTGCCTTCTGGGCCATAAGGAGAGAGGGGTTTGGGTTGCAAGGTGAACTGGCAAGCTGAGGGGAGGTTGGGAAGAAGAAGCTATGCTGGTGGACTTCATCCTTACACACCTGGGTTTTCTGCTGTCACCAACTGTAATGTGGATTAATTATAAGTATGATTGAGTTAATAAGGATAATCAATCAAAAACCCACCAGTGATTTTTATTGTGTTTCTGTATTATAAAGGCAATATATACTCATTATAAACATTTTGGAAAATGTCAAAAAAGACAGAAGGAACAAGAATTGACCTTTGAATCACTTTCTAAAGCAACTAATGTTTATAGTTGAGTCTCATTCCTTCTGGTTTTATTTCCTTTCCTTTTAAATAGCTGGGTATTTGGCTTACATAATTATGATGAATTGTGCATAAAATTTAGTGCCATTTTCATTTACTAGAATACTGTAAGATATAACTTTTCTACAGGTTATAAGGTCTTTAGAAACATACATTTTGGAGTGAGGATGTAGCTCAGTGGTAGAACACTTGTCTAACACATGGAAGGCTTTGGGTTTGATCCCAACACTTAAAAAAATGATTGTAAAACCCTTAATTGATTACATTACATTTCACATAAATCGGATCTTAGAATTGGATGGCTACATATTTTATGACATTCATATGGATAAATTAGATTTTGATGCGACCTTTGGTACTGAAAGATTTTCGGATATTCCTTTAGACCTTTTCTTCCTATAGGGGAAAGGAAAGGAGGGAAAAGAAAAAATGTGAGACAAGGAAAAAAATGGAAACAAATTATTTGTAAATAGGGAAGGGTGAAGGGGGTGAAGGGAGGGCCAGGGAATGGGGAAAAAAATAAGAACCAAGATGCATCATGTAAAGGTACAAGATGCCAGTGATGAATGTAACTATATTGTATACCTAAAATGTACCAATAAATAAACTTAATAAAAAAGATTTTCTGATAGTTTCAGTAATATTTATGATGAATTTCCAGGACTCATGATATATCATTGAGACTAACAGGGTTAGTAAATAATCTAGGGGAGCCCTTAGGAAATTGCCTGCTCTTGCCCCTAAGCTGGAGATTGGCAAATCCTGTCAAAGAGGAGCAAGCCAAGTCCCAGACAATGTGTATATCCAGAAAGCATCACTGGTAGTTCATTTCTAGCATAATTATTCTGTGGTGTCAAGATCAGCTTTCTAGCTTGATCTGCTTAGGGCTGGAATTCTTAGCATTTTGATGCAGCCCGAATCATAGAAGAATGACATGGTCCCCAAAGTAATAGTCACTCAATTCAGAGAGAGGGGTGCATCAGAACTTCTGACGAGAAGCATTTTATTTGCACAAGATTTGCTAGGCTTCTTCTGCATCCCTCCCACCCACAAGGCACCGATAAAGTGGGGTACCTCTGCAACAAATGTGGTTCTGGCTTTCCATACTTTCCACTGCAGGGAGGGGGAATTCCACCTTCCTCTCCTCAGGTTTGAATGACCCAATCATATTGTCCCAATTTTGTCCAATGAGACATAAAAGAAAACTTTTGCTCATAAGAAGGCTTCTGTGGGATGAGACACCTTCTTTTGCTGGATATCCTTGTTTTGTTTGTCTGTGTCATCTGGAACGCCTAGAAGGGAGCTGTGACAATCCATTGGGGATTTCAGAGCAGAATGATGAAAAAAACTGGGTATTGGGATATGACTTTGAGTTGACAACTTAACTCCGAAGCTTCCCTGTATTCCTTGCAATGGAAGATAATTTTAGCTAACTGTTTAAATGAGTTGATACTGAGTTTTCTATTGTTTAAAGCATAATGCATCTTTACTGATACAGTATGCATGAATCAAAGCCTTAGTCCTGAAGTGAGCTGATCTGCAATGCCAGTGCCATATTAGCACATGGTTCTTTAGGCAGGTGTATGAATTGAAAAATACTCAGCTTTGCTACCACCACCTTCACAAGGAAGTCTCCCTGCTCCTCTGCCTTGTTTGAGTGAAGTTCTCTCCTGAGCTTTCACAGACACCCTCTGGATTTTATTGCATAAATATTGTTTATGTCTCCCTACCAAGCTATGAACTCCTTTAATAGCAAATGTGTCTCATTCATTATGGTAGCTGCACACTTAGAACTAAAATGGAAAGCAAAATGAATTGTTCACCAGCTTGCTGTAACTTCCATTTTCCATGGAAGTGCTTAAGTAATGTATGTGTGTTCATATTATTTTATCAGCGTTTGATATCTTTACCCATTTACACACATGTTATATTTTCTTCTCCTTTCAAATGGAGAGTACCTTTCATAAAAATCAACCAAATACAGTTGACATGAATCCGAGGGAGTGCTGAGGGAGCCTTAGGACCTTCTGGAGTATCCTGCCTTGCTGGAAAGGCAAAAGGAAGAGCTGGTGGGAGAGGGATACCTGTGCATTGTGCTGAGTGATTTCTCATAATGTTACTGGCCACAAGGTGTCTATCTCTTAATAAGCAGGATGTGTAGCTTCGAGAATGTGTCTGCAGCCACCTCCAGCCCCAGGGAATCAGAAAAGTTGTTTAAAAATTCTGTAGGTGGCTTGAGGCTCTGTCTAGAGGCTTAGGGAGTGCGTGATCTATAATACTCATCTAATGACTAAGCTACAGCATCACAAGGCTCACAGATGACTAATAATTATTCTCATTCTACAGTGCACAGTTTGGTTTGCAAAACAAAGCAAGTGAGGCCTCTGCCCTTTTGTCCTGTGACTCACTCCTGTAAAATATTCAGTGGCAAGGCTGAGAGAGCACAAGACATGCGGGTCAGCACTCCTGCATCTTCTGCCTTTCTTTCTCCCACAGTCCCAGGCTTCTTGGGGCTGCAAGTCCATTTTTAATGCTTGAGCCGACCGTGTTCTGTGTGGTGATTAAGACCAGACTTTGGATTTTAACATGGAGGTTCCACCCCGGTAGGTGCTATCATCCCCAGATATGTGGCCTTGGGCAATGGACTTAACTTTTCTGAGCTCCAGTGGTTCTCGTCTTCCAGGTGGAGAGAGTGAAAAAAAAGTTAGAGTTGCCATGGAAACCAATGGATTTGAAGTGCTTAGTACACTGCATCGGTACAGATGGAGTTCAAGAAATGGTATTTATTATTAAGATTAGCTACAAATTTTCCTCAGACTATCTTCAAAAGGTAAAATAGCCGTGTGATTTGGGAACTTTTTAAAAACTTCTCTGATCTTTAATTTATTCATTTAAAAATTAATTATAATAAATTTTCCTTTGCAGTTTTTCAGGGGAAGCAGCACAGGATATGGCCAAGTGTCCAGCACAGTGTAGTTGCTCAACACATGTACAGTCATATCTTGGCACTGGACGGCTTTGAAACTCTTTGGTTTTTTTTCCTTAAATTTTTTTATTGGTACATTTTAGGTATACATTGCTTTTACATTTATCATTGGGTGCTTATATCTGTACGTGATGTATCTTAGTTCTTATTTTTTTCCCCATTACCTGTGCTCCCTTCACCCCTCCACCCTTCCCTGCTTTGAAACTCTTTGAATTTGGTACTCGACACATTTTGATGTGAACATTTTGTCCCCATTGTTTGGTACTTGTCATGAGACCTGAAACTTGACCATGTCAACTGTCTCTTGACTTCCCATCCTTTCAAGTCAGAATAATTCAATACTCGTCATTTTTGGTACTTGTTGCACCTCGAGGAACCAGTTAACAACAACACTGTATTGTTCTTTTCTTTCTCCAGAGTGAATTGAGATTCTCTTGGTGTGTTCATCCTCCTGAAACAGGTTTTCTACATCTTCATGGAGGAAGGTGTTAGTTCTTAAGCACCAACCTCTGAAGAGTGATCCCTAAACTTTGGCTGGTAGATGATCACTGAGCATTTCTGACTCGATGGAGCAAAGGAGCTGGGGTTCTTGAAAATACCAGATGCCTGGGCAGTGTTTGCATGTATTGGTTTGGCTGGCTTGTGACTACTCAGATAACCAAGGGGTGAATATTACTGAGCATAATGTAGGTAGAATTGATGGCCTTGCATGCTGACCTCAGAACACTGATCTTTAGGAACTGTGATGAAGGAAGCCCTAAACCCTGGATGGGACAGGTTATGGGCAACTTAAGCACAGTGAAGGCCAGAGGGCCAATCCCCAAATGTTGGGGACTAGAAAGTGTGATGGGTTATTTGTCAACAGGAGAGCGGATAGGGGACCCCAGGGTAATTAATGACTGCTATTGGGCTTCCTGGCACTCTGTCATTGGGAATCACAGGTAGTTTTTACTCGATTTAGACAAATGAAACGATGCAGCATTTCTTGGGAGCCAGTGTGGAATAAATTCTCACTGAGTACATTGATAAGCAACAAGTATGGTCAGGCTTCATCTGTAGTATATGACGAATGAGAGTCGAAATTGTTCTCATTCCCTCTGGGTGAAAGGCAGAGTCTGAGACACACAATTTATTAATTATAGAGTGTGAATCCTGGAGTCAAGGCAAGAGCAGAGTTGTTGGTTCCTTCAGACCATCTTGGGCCCGGAAGGCAAGTTACTAAACCCTTCTGACGGTGTTTCTTTACCTGTAAAGTACAGATAGGAGGAGAATCTCTCACAGAGTGTTGTTGGTCATAAGAGGTAAATGATAGAATCATATCTGGCTTGCATAATCAATCAATTGGTAGCTGTTATTACTAATAGTATTATGATTGCATGGCAGCTGTTGAAGGAAGCTTTGGCTTCCCTAACATAGTTGCTGAAGATCAGTAGGGGGAGGTCAGTATGCGGGGCCATAAGCTTTCCCACATTATTCTCAGCCATGTTCACCACAGAGCGATCTGGGGTGCTTAAGGGCCAATTATATGTTGGCTTAAAAACATCTTTTGACAATGGCTATGCAATTTCATGGAGATGCTCTGAACATAAGGAGCTCTGCCATGTTGGGAAACAGCCAAGGAAAAGTTAAGGAGATAGGACATTTGGGGAAAATTTGAAGACAACTGTTTTTCTTTGGAGGTAGTAGAGAACATAAAGGGGAGTTAAAATTTTGGAAGAATGGAAATATTGGAACTTCATTTATAATCCTCTTTAGGGACCTAAATACATTTTATTCTTTTAGAAAAATAAATAATTTGTCATAAATTGTTCTGTTTATTTTTTCCCTTTGGAGATCCAAAGTACTGGCAGTGGATAAGGACAGAAACCACTAAACATTTAGAGCAGTGTTTTCTTTACTGTTTTCCTGTTTTCTTGAGAGGTTAAAACAAAGCAGAACAAAAATCTTGTTTAGAAACATCTCTTAGCACATTTGGTTTTTGGGGGCCCTTAATCCTGGAGCCCACACAGGATCATTTTATACCTCCTTTCTGTTTTCTCTATAGTTCAATTCAAAATATTTTCTTTTGATTAAATCTAATAGAAGCTAATTTAGTTCATTTCTTATGAATTGAGTGGATGTGACCAGAGTCTTAGTCATCATGGGGACACAAAAGGAACAAGTGGCACATCTTTGACCCTTGATAGATTTATGGCCTACTTGGGTAGCACTGAGGCTCAGCCAGTGACTCGGCCAGCCACACAGATGCAGGGGGAGGAATCCCAAATGTGGCATTTTACCACTTCTCCTCTCTATCTGATACTCTTTGATGTTTTCTGACATTTTTTTCAAAGTGATTAACAATCATCAAAGAAAACTGAGTAACATAGAAAAATATGAAAACCTACTTTTAGGTGAAAGGAAGCAGGTTGCAAATCTGCACACACGTTATTAGCCTCATTGTGTATATGTGTGTATGCGGTAAGATAGGCAATGTGACTTGTATCATCTCAGGTTTGACTTTAATCCTCACACTAAACAATAAGTGGTCAAATATTCTCAGTTTCTGAAATGATGTGCTAAGATGTCAATTAAGCCCTTAACACAGGAAATATCACAGAGCTCTTTCAACATTAGCTTGCTCCCCACCTCTACAAAAGGGATGCTAAGAATTGTTAGGAGGTTGAAATACATGGGAAAGTGCTTTGGAGAGAATTATTGGAGTCAAATACTTCTTCTTTTTTTTTTTTTTTTACTATACACAATATGCACTTGTCAGCCATTATCATAATGCTTTGTAACAAACAATAACACAGTCATATTAGGTTGTGACAATAGACATTTATTTTTATGGATTTTCAGGTCGACTGCAATTTAGATGATCTCACCTGGGCACTTCTGGACAGTTCTACTGCACACTGATTTCATCAGGCTTATTTCTAAATGCAGGTTGACTTCAGGTCTATTCCATGTGTCTCATCACTCTAGAGCAAGAACATGGTTTTACAGTAATAGCAGCAATACAGAAATTAGCTAAAATATGTAATGCCTCTTAAATTGTGAAATAGAATTGGCACAATTGTGCTTCTTCTGTAATTGATAGGCCAAAATAAGTCATTAGGCCAAGCCCAACATCACCTGATGTGGAGAAATAAACTCTATCTTAGGTGAAGGATATATTTATGAAAACAATTTTACAGAGAAAAGTAACAGTAACGATATATTTCTCTTGTAATTTAGGTAATATAAGCACTAGTACTTGATCTGACATTAACACTTTTAATAGAGGACTGCATTGGGAAGACACAATAGTTGTAGAATTGGGATCTAATATTTACATGTGTTTCTGGTAAGCTAGAAATGGAGTCTGTGGAAGGAAGCTACTTGTGGGCTACCTTGTCAAAACTTTCAGAGAAGAGGACTTCCTGGAGAGGTGGTGACCAGAGGAGATGATAAGGCCTAAGTGGAGAGAAAGTCAGTGGTGAACAATAGTCACACAGGGCCAGCTTTGGGGGGCTCTGAAGTACCAGTTATTGTTTCTTGTTTCTCTATATCAAGTAGGGTTCAATCAGAGAAATAGAACTGCCACAAGTGATGTAGAATGAGGGTTCAGATCTTGCACCACTCTGGGAGCTGGTGGAAAGGCCATGCAAGGCTGGTTTGGCTCTGAGGTCACCACAGACCTGGTGGGGCAGCACTTGAGAGGACAGATGAACAGGAAGTAAGAAGAGCAGGGCAAAGTGGAACCTACAATTTTTGGACTGGAAGATGTACCAGATCCCCCAACCACTGTCTGTCTTCTACCAGGATTCGTGGTACAATGGCCTGGTGTCCATCACCACAGAGCTGACCATGCACCTGCCCTCCAGAGAGGGCTGGAGGAGAGGTGGCCCAGTGCTGCTGTGAGCCAACAAACCAGCTGGAAGTTCAGTGACTGTGAGCAGGAGCTGTCACGGTGCCTGGCACCCCACACCAATCATGAAGGTGCAAAAGCTGTCTGCTGTTTCACCATGGCTTCTTCTATGTCATGCACATTTTCCCGATAGCCTCTCCACCCTGGAAGCTCAGAGAGATGAAACTCCTGGAGTTAAGTTCCCACTTAGCTATGCTGATGCATTACAAAGTCACTGCACACTCTGATCTCTGAGCTACAGAGTGGGTCAAGAAGCAGGTCAGAGTGAAGAAACCAACCTGCAGATCATTGCATCCTTCCTTCTCAGTTCCCCAGCCTGTGGCAGGTGTGAGCTACTGGGAGGAGGAGCTTCACACTGGGTGAGACAGTGCCACACTCTGCTGAATGTGACAGTGGCCTGAGAGAGAATACAAGTTAGAGGAAATTTCTTGCTCTTGGCTAAGAAGCTAGGGTCATATGATCAGGAGAAAAGGCAGGGGAGTGAAACAACATAGGTGCTTCTGGCCATTTTTCCTTTAGTTCAATTAGAAAATTAACTCTGTGTATGTGTGCATGTATGCATATTTTTAGGTTTATCAAAGCATGCAGCTTGTTGGGTTATTAACATCAAAGAATTTTTCCCTAGTCCTTATTCCTAATAATGCCACATAAATTTTTCTTGTCCGTAGTGTAGCAGATTCCATAATTTCCTCTTCTCTTTGGGTATAAAACCCTCCAGTTTAAAAGACCAATCTCATCTTTTCCCAGTTCTACTCACGCTCAAGGCCTGGAGGATGTGGGTGGGGGGAACCCCACCTGTGGTTTACCTGTCTTCCCTCTTTTTCCCTCTGGGACCTGTCCTCTTTGCTCTCTCAGTAGGCAACAGGCCCCTAGGTGTGTGGAGGATGGAGTAGGAGGAGGCAGGCACGAGCACCACAAACCTGGCTGCTGTTGCAGTGCACTCTCTTAACCCTCATTGTTCCTTTGGTTCACACTGAAGGATCCTCAAGTTTCTCTTCATGATGGACACCATCTCTGTGCTCTTTTGTGGCTCTCTCACAGCAGATGTGCTGTCAGTTTCCTAAGGTTCTTCTTCAGGGGCCTCCCAACTGCAGAAGATCCAACTCTGGTTCACAATTTCCAGTGTTCTCAGATATGTCCTTGGTGTTGCATTCATGCCCCGTTGCTGCTCAGGTCCTTGCTTGGCAGCTGCTCTCTTGAGTGGAGTCGGGACTGGGTCTAGTCTATGTGTCCTCTGGCCCTGTACAAGTTTGATGCATCTCTGCCATGACACCTGAGTGAGCAGGCTGGTCTGTATGTGGGTGCCCTGTCTGCCTTACTTTGTCTCTATGGCTCTATTTTCCTATTAGGAAAGAACAGAACAAATCAATAAGGCTATCGTTGAGTAAAATGCAAGGCCAAGGAACGAGCTGACAATATTACCTTCCTGAAAGTGTTCCCAAAAGTTATATACATATTATCTTTTGAAAAGCCCTTTCCATATCTCATAGATGTCTGGTTTAGCTATTGGGTGTGCAGTAGCCCAGCATTTCCACTCAACGACCCTAAGTTGTCCTTTCTCATCTCTTTGGTCTTCTTTTATAGAGGGGACTGTATTGGTGGAAGTGTTGCTGGATTGATGGTAGCATTTTATTTTTTTAAGTTAATTTTTTGAGGTGTGACTGGCATGTAAAAATCTGTACTTAATGTATACAATTTGATAAATTTGGAGATGAGTATATGCCCATGGAACCATCACCACCACCAAAGCCATGAGCATATCCATCACTTTCCAGTTTCTTCTTGCTCTGTTTATTATTATTATTTTGAGTATGTGGTAGAACACTTGGCTTGACATAAGATTTGTCCTCTTAACAAATTTTAAACATACAATATTTTAATGCTATAGGTACTCTTTGTTATTGCATTTGTCTTTCTGAGTCTGGCTTATTGCATTTAGCATAATGCCAATTACAAGGGTCACAAGCGAGCCCATTTCCTTTGTAAAGGTTGAATAGTATTCTATGAACCACACTGTCTTTAAACATTCATCCGTCAATGGGCATTCAGACTGTTTCTAAGTCTTAGCCTTTCCAGTACTGCAATATTCATGATAATCTTTTTTTTTTCTTAAATTCTTTAGTTGGTACATTTTAGGTATACAATACATTTACATTTATTTTTGGGTGCTTCTACCTGTACATGATGTATCTTGGTTCTTATTTTTCCCCATTACCTGTGCACCCTTCACCCCTATAACCACAGAGATGGTGAGCAGAGTGAAAGACATGATTAGAAGCTCTAGAACAGAAACTGATAAAAAAATAGATGAGCTCAGAAACATGCTGGAAGCCAGGAATGTCCAGCATAAGAAGAAATGGAAACCATGATCGCCCAACATAAGAAGGAAATGGAATCTATGAAACAGATTCAAACAGATATTCAGGAGATTAAAAACTCCATTGAAAGCATGCAGAGCAGATTAAGAGACTCTGAAGATAGAATATCAGATATAGAAGACAGGATTGCGGTGAAGGACCATGAAAACAGAGATTTCTTAAAAATAGTAAGGGACCATGAGAAATCAATTCAACAGCTGCTAGATGATGCAAAGAAGAATAATATAAGACTGATAGGAGTCCACGAAAAAACAGGAGAAATTACAATTGACATAAAAAACTGTTCACAGAAGTAATAGTAGAAAACTTCCCAGCCAGAGGAGGAGAATTGGACATACAGATAAGCAAGGCATATAGAACATGATATCTTTTTGAGATATCTTTTGAGATATCTTTTTGAGACACTGATCCCAATTCCTTTGACAAATACCCAGAAGTTAGATTGCTGGATCATATAGCTGTTTTTTAAGATTTGAGGAAGGTATTTGATTTGATTGAGAATGTGATATGACATTTAACGCCTCCTTATTTATAGTGTTATTTGTCAATTTTGGAACACTAGGAAAAGTTGGTTTTTATGTATTTACAGTAAACACACACACACACATGCACACACACGCACACCCCCCCTTCCCCCCGACACCCCTCAGTTGGAGAAAGGCAGAGATACAGGCTCTTCAAAGAAATACTAATGCTCTCTGTCATTAGGTGGTAAGATTAGAAATTATTTGTACTTTCTTCTCTGT